CTTAGCTGATTGCTGACCTTCCCTCTTCCTGGCATTAATTGGGGCCTATCATAAAGATCTTCTTTCAGTACAAGAAGTGTATGCTCTAGTTTAATCCGAAGTGAGCAGGCGAAGTGTGATGAATAGCTTCGAAAGGGAGCAGATTGCCTTAGTGGCTAAAGGGAGTATGGGTGTAGGAGGCAATAAGAAAGGTGATATCCAGAAGAGAGTGGATGATAAAGATAAGTTATGGTGTACTCACTGCCAGAAGGCCGGACATACTCAAGATACTTGTTGGGACCTCCATGGAAAGCCAAAGTGGGCCCAAGAGTTGAGTAAGAAATCATATCATAATAAGAAGCCAAGATAAAAGAGTCAAAAAAAGTTTAATACAACAAATTTGGCCTCTCGGGAGTCTCAGTCATCTACTGCTATTCACTAGGACCGCCCATCCGTTGCCGATCCCCGGGAAGATATCATTAATTCTTTCCGCGACCACTTGGATCTGTATGGGAGAGCAATTGGCCAAATGGATTCTGCTTCTCCTGCCTCGACTTCCTTTCAATCTACTTCAGGTAATGGTAATCCTGTCACAGCCTTCCATGTGTCTTCCCATTTATTTGATTCCCCTTGGATAATTGACTCTGGAGCCTCAAACCATATGGCGGGTAAGTCAAATTGTTTCCAATCTTATCAACTTTTATCTGGTAGGGACAAAGTGAGATTAGCTGATGGTTCTTTTTCCACCATAGTTGGTGAAGGAACCATAACCCTTCTTTTTAGACTTACCCTTTCTAATGTGTTACATGTTTCAAAATTACCTATAAATTTGTTTTCTGTCAGTAGCATTACAAACTCTTTAACTGTTCAGTGACCTTTTTCCCTTCTTGTGTTCTATAGGATTTGGACTTGGGGAAGATGATTGGTAGAGGTCGTATGGTGGATGGTCTCTACATACTAGAGAACAAAGCTAGTCTTGCGGTCATTGAGTCTACGAGTCAGTCTAGTATGAGTCAAGTTTACTTATGGCATAGTCGTTTGGGTCATTTATCGTTTGGGTCGTTAAAGGTCTTACTTTCAGATTTATTTAAATAAGTGTCAGTGTCTGAGTTCAAATGTCAAACTTGTCAGTTGAGCAAACATTGTAGAAATCATTTTTCTTCAAGAAATAATAAATTCAATTTTCCTTTTCATATTGTTTATTCTGATGTTTGGGGCCCTGTTACTTTACCATCTGAGCTTGGTTATAAATATTTCATTACTTTTATTAATGACTATTCCAGATATACATGGGTGTACCCTATGCGGTCCATAGATGAAGTACCAAAGATTGTGAAAGATTTCCAACATATGATGTAAAGAGACTGGGCCGAATGGGTCCTAGTATCTTCTCTTGTAATATCTTTTCTTTTATTGTGGCTAATGGGCCTCTCTTAATGGGCCTGTTATTTATTTTTGTTTAATCTCTTTATGTTACTGCCTAGCTGGCCACCCACTTAAGGGCATACTTGTCATTACTCTAGCTTTAATTCTTAATAAAAAAGGATTAGAGGAGAAAGGGAAAATAATTCAATTTTTCTTCTTCTTCCTTCTCTTTTTCGCCATCTTCTTCTCTTGTGTTGCTGCTCTTACTTCTCTTCTTCCTTTTCTTCTAATATTCAAATTTACACCTAATATTTGAGGACTGATTTACATCTTATGATATTTACTCAATTTCAGACAAAGATCCAAATTTTCTAGTCTGACAATGCCAAAGAATACTTCCACAGTGATCTCACGAAGTTCTTTGCTTCGTGTGGGTCTATCCGTCGTAGTTCTTGTGCCAAAACTCCTCAAAAAAAGGTGTTGCAGAAAGAAAAACCGTCGTCTACTTGAAGTGGCTCGTGGGTTACTCATCCATATGAGTGTTCCAAAACGTTTTTGGTTGGATGCTGTGTTATGTGCTACCTATCTCATCAACTGTATGCCATCTCGAGTGTTAGGGTACAAGGCCCCTCATCAGCTCCTATTTCCCAAAGCTCCCATCTTTTCTATTCCCATTCGTGTGTTTGGTTGTCGTTGTTTTGTTCAAAACTTGTCTCCTAACCATGGTAATCTTGACCCTCGTGCTCTTGTGTATTCTTGGGCTATCCTTCTTTCCAAAAGGGTTACTATTGTTTCGATCCCGTCTCTCGAAAATACTATGTTTCTATGGATGTGTCTTTCTTTGAGGGTGATCCCTTCTTCCCGGTTTCTCCTCATGGGGAGAATGGGGTGAAGGAGAAACAATTTCAAGTACTATCTCCCCTACTTGACCCTCCTCCATTCCATGTCTTTCTCCGTCACTGCAAGGGCTAGTTGGGTTCAAAAGCTGTGGAGCAACTTGAAACTATACCACCAACATCATCAAATTCATTGGGGACAGATCACATTCCATTAGGTACTATTATTCCCGTTGATAATCCTGATCCTATTGCTATTAATTTTTCTTTTGCCAATGACCTTGACATCCCTATTGCACAAAGGAAGGGAGTTAGGTCCTGTACCACCAAACATCCTATCTCCCACTTTATTTCATATGAGAACATCTCATCCTCCTTTCTTTCTTTTCTCTCTTCCATTGACAGTATCCCTATCCCCAAAAATGTGGCAGAAGCTCTTTTAGTACCTGAGTGGACAGATGCAATGAAAGAAGAGATGGATCCCTTACATAAAAACGGTACATGGGAATTAGTGGATCTCCTTGTGGGAAAGGAACCGGTAGGGTGCAAGTAGGTTTTTACAGTAAAGCACAGGGATGATGGTACAGTAGAAAGGTACAAAGTTCGGTTGGTGGCGAAAGGGTTTACTCAGGTGTATGGAGTAGACTATGCAGAGACATTTGCTCTGGTTGCTAAAGATGAATTCTATCAGAGTTATTTTTTCTCTTGCTGCTAACCTTGATTGGGATCTCCACCAGTTAGATATTAAAAATGCCTTCTTGAATGGTGATCTTGAAGAAGTGTACATGGTGCAACTTCCTGGTTTCTATGCTCAAGACCAAGAAAAAAAAGATGTGTAGGTTAAAGAAGTCCTTGTACGGACTAAAATGGTCACCGAGAGCTTGGTTCAACAAGTTTTACCTAGTTGTACAACAAATTGGTTATAAATAGTGTCAGACTGATCATACATTATTTGTGAAAAAGGGAGAAGGAAAAATTGTAGCCTTGATAGTGTATGTTGATGACATAGTGATCACAAGCGATTGGAAGGTGGAAATTCAGAGATTAAAGGAGTTCCTAGCCACTCAATTTGAGGTGAAGGATCTAGGTCTCTTGAAGTATTTTCTTGGATTTGAAGTGGCCAGTTTGAAAAAGGGGATCTTCATTTCTCTAAGAAAATACACCCTAGATTTATTACAGGATATAGGAAAACTTGGAGTCAAGCTTGTTGACTCCCCTATTGATCCAAACCATAGATTAAGTGATTGTCAAGGTGAGACTATCAAGGATGTGAAACAATTCCAGAGACTTGTGGGCAGACTATTATATTTGTCTATGACACGGCCAAACATTGCTTATGTTGTGGGTGTTCTTAGTCAATTCATGCATGCCCCAGACTTAGAGGCAGCTGATAGAATTCTCAGGTACCTAAAGAAGTTCCCAGGGGCTGGTTTACTTTTCCAAAAGAATGGCCACTTGAAGGTTGAGGTGTATACAGATGTTGACTGGGCCAGATCAGTTGATGACAGAAAGTCTACTAGTGGGTATTGCACCTTTGTGGGAGGAGGAAACCTAGTCACGTGGAGAAGCAAGGAACAATATGTTGTGGCAAGGTTTAGTGCTGAAAATGAATATAGAGCAATGTCCCATGGAGTGGCTGAAGTTATGTGGATAAAGAACTTGTTGAATGAGTTGGGATTTCCTGTTGATGGCCCCATATCCATGTATTGTGATAATAAAGTTGCTATCAACATTGCTGCCAACCCGGTGCTCCATGATAGAATTAAACATATTGAGGTTGACAAGCATTTTATTAGGGAGAATTATAAATGGGGAAATGTGCACTCCATATTTCAGTTCCACGGATCAACTTGCAGACATCTTTACCAAGGGATTATATCATCCGCGGCACAATGATTTATGTGACAAGTTGGGCATGATTGATATCTATGTCCCAACTTGAGGGGGAGTGTTGGAATCAGTTAGCCTCTTCTCTGAGGCGTTTTATTTATGCTTTTCTGTTTTTTAGTGCTGTAGGGGCACTCTTGTAATTTCCTTTTCTTTTTATTATTAGTTGGGTCGCCCTAATATATAAGCTAATATCTGACGCCGCCAGATACAAGTTTTAATCCAGTTTTTTTTGTCTCTCTTCTCTCCTCTCTTTCTCCTCTCCTTCTCTGATATCTCTTGCCTGAAAATAGTACGTACTCTCGTTAGGTCTGGTATGAACTATTTCTGCTGTAACAGCAGTAATCCTTCAGTATCTTGTGCCTGTGTGGTCTGATTTGGTGGTGTGTAACCTTCATCCATACTTGGGAGTGGTCTGGTTTGTCTATGAAGGGCATAGGACTGTTTTTTCTCAAGTAACCTGGAGTTTGATCATTGAGTAGGTGATGGTTTAGTGTTCAGTGGTGTTGCTCCTGTGTTTTTTTCACTGTGAATTAAGTAATAAGGGTATTAAAGTGCTGTTGCGTTATCAAAATTAAGGTGCTGTTGCAATGCTGGTTTGTACACCAATGTATGTAAAAGGGAAAGGCTTGGTATATGTTAAACTGGCTTGGATCTCATCCCTTGAGCTCCCCAACTATAGCTTGTTGAAGTGATTGCTGTTATTGGAAAAATAATATCCATCATTCCATCTTGACTTGCAGGCCAAACATGATTTCTTCTTGTTCTTGTTGCTTAAGCCCTCCTTGCTATACAAAGTCTTAGTCATTTATTCATGTTTTGTACTGGAAAGTTATTCCATAATATGAATCTCCTTTTTCTTTCCTTTTTTTCCTATATATTTCAAGAATGGTAACATTAGTTTCATCTATCTTATAACTATTTTTCTTCCAGTTTTCAAAGATGGAGGTAAAGAAAAGAAGAGGAAAAATCCAGCTTCATCACCTGTAAAATGTTATTTTGTTTGCCTGGAGTCTAACGTGTCATTGGATGAGAAAACACAATATATTTTATTTAATAAATCAGTTCATGAAGCACGGTCCGTGTTTATGCATGTACACACAGTTTCCAGCATTTCTAAATATATGGCTAGGTTGGTAACCTATTTGCCTTCTTCTATGGCCATATTTATTCTTATTTCCTTTAAAACATCATGATAATTTGGGAGTGTAGGTTTTCTCTCATTTTGTCAAAGACCATCAAGCTTGAGGTAGATCTTGCATCTGTGGATATCCAAAAGATAGAAGACGAACCATGCCGGGTATTTCAGTTTGTTTCCTTTTAGTCTGTAGAAAAGGTTGAGATTACCTTGTTTAATATGCGTCTGTGTTAATAAAGCTTAATTTTTTGGTATTCATTTTGTTAAGTTGATATGCTTGTGAATTGTAGGATGAGGATGGACACATCATTTGTAATGAAGGTGGGGAACCTCTTATACACACTAATGGAACTGGTTTTATATCTGAAGACTTGGCTTTGAAATGCCCAATGAATGTGGTTAAAGGGAAGAATCTGAAGCAAGGAGAAATTATGGTTTGTAACTTTGTCTGTGTTTCATAATTGTCAACTGAAAAAATTTTTAATGATAACTACCTTATTTTAAAAGTTGCACTCAAAAGTCGCTTGTGTGTTGAAAAGTATTTAATTCTTTCTAGAAGTTTATTTACTAGATTTTTTATTAGTGCTTGGAATGATCAAGGAAATATTTTCCTTGTTTTTTTTTTTTTATTCCTGAACTTACCTATTAGAAGCTTCACTAGACAAATTTAGAATTTAAAAAATGTTCTTAATTTATTTTTGCTTGTTAAACAAGTTATTTTGTTTAACAAGCTATATTGGAGAGGACTGAAGCTTTGGGTTGTACGGTGTCTCAATGGCCGCTAAACTATTTGGGGATGCCCTTAGGGGATAACCCGAGGAAAGAGAGCTTTTGGAGCCCCGTAATTGATAGATTTGCTAAGAAGCTAGCCTCTTGGAAGAAGAACTATTTATCTCTGGGTGGTAGAATTACTTTGATCAAATCTACACTAGCTAGTTTGCCTGTGTATTACTTATCGGTTTTTAGGATCCCGGTGAAGATAAGTAGGGGTTTGGAGAAGTTAATGAGAGACTTCTTGTGGGAACCAGGGGAGGAGAGGAAGGATCACAGGGTGAATTGGGAACTAGTCTCTAGGAGTAGGGCTGACAGAGGGTTAGGTTTAGGTAACATTTGGTGGAAAAGTGAAGCCTTGTTGGGGAATGGCTGTGGAGGTGAGAGGGATAAACTGTGGACAAGGGTAATTTTAAGTATTCACGGTTAGGTAGATGATGGCTAGGACACTGGGACTTTGGCAAGGTCTGTTGGTGCCTCTCATTGGAAATCTATACATGCCATTCTTCCTTCATTTTTGCAGCACATTAGGTATGATCTCTGCTCTGGGAATCAGGTAAAGTTTTGGGAGCACATTTGGGTGGGTGAGATACCTATGAAAGACCAATTCCCTTGTTTTCACTCTCCTGATTTAAGGGCAAGGTTGTGTCCAGTTTTCTAGTTCATTCTCAGTCTAATTTTGGGTTTGATTGGGATCTGGGGCTTAGAAAAGGCTTAAGGGATGTAGAGGTTGAAAATGCCATGAGTCTGGTTCAGATCTTAGACCGGGTGGTGTTGGATTCCTTTGAGAGGGATAAGAGACTATGGACCCTAATTCCTTCTGGAACCTTCTCTTGTGCCTCTTTCTTCAAGTCCCTATTGCCTTCATCCAGTCCATCTGCACAAAACTTTCCAGTTAAGGATGTTTGGGGTGAGCCGATTCCTCCAAGGATTGGAGCCTTTTGTTGGGAAGCCTTCCTCGGAAGATGTAATACATGTGACGTACTCCAAAGAAAAAGGCCTTTTTGGTGCTTGTCTCCGAATTGGTGCATTCTTTGCAAGGCTAATGGTGAAAGCTCCTACCACTTATTAGTTTCTTGCCCCTTTGCTACTGATCTTTGGGAATGGTTTTTTCCACTTTTGGTTGCAGGTTGACCCCACCGCCAAACATTCAAAGTTTGTTTAGCCCCTCATTCTTTGGTTGGCCAAACAAAAGGGGAAGGATAATGTGGAGATGTGTGAGGGCTGCTGTTTGTTGGACTCTTTGGGAGGAAAGGAACACCAGAATTTTCTCCGAAATTGAAAGAAGTAAAGAATGCCTTATTGAAGTAGTAACCGTGAGGGTGGTACGTTGGCTGAAATCTTTGGACCTGTTTGTTGATATTTCTACGGATATGTTGCTGAATAGCTGGCTGGAGGTGGCAAATTCTGCTCCTGCTCGCTCTTTAGTTTGTCTTGTGTGGTTACCACCAGGAAGTGGACTTATAAAGCTAAACTTCGATGGGAGTAGTGAAGGAAATCCAGGTCCATCAGGTGTAGGAGGGGTTTTCAGAGATGAGGGTGGGAAGGTGCTCGCTTTGTATTCAGGTTCCATTGGGTTTGGAGGCTCTCTCAAAGCTGAGGTCTATGCAGTACTGGAGGGTATAAGGAAGTCTAAGGAACTGAATATACAAAAGTTAGTTGTTGAAGGGGACTCAAAGCTGGTCTTAAGTTGGTTACAAGAAGGTAGTGGACTTTGGAAATATGCTAATGAGAGGAGGGAGATTAAGTGGCTAACTAGAGGACTGGAAATCAAGTTTCAGTGGGTCAAGAGAACAGCAAATGCATTTTCTGATGCTTTGACAAAGCAGGGGGTGGGAAGGGATAAAATGTTTTGGGCTGTTCTGTAAATTTTTCCTTTTTGTTATCTTCCCGAAGAGAGTTAAGCCTGTTTATCTCTCTTTGGAGTGCTGTAACTAAATTCTTTTAATCTAATGAATTCCAGTTATTGATAAAAAAAACAAGTTATTTTGTTTCATAGAGCAAGTACTCGTCAGTTTATTGTTATACTTTAAACAACTAAGATAAGGTCTACACAACATGAAGTGGATAGAAAGGAATTTTATGTCCTCTCCCTTACTATAAGTCTATAACATGGATATTACCAGGCTAAAGTTCATAGCTTGTTGTGAAAAGGCATTAACCAGAAAACTTCCAATTATATGGAAAATGTTATAGCAGTAGTACTGCATATTCCATGAGCCAACTCTCTGAGAAGATTCTTAATCCACAACAGTCAAGCCACCCCATGAGCCATAGCATGATATTTAGCTTCTGCAGTAAATCTATTATAATTTCATTTGATCCGTATATTGTGTACCCCTTATTAACATGTTTAATTTGAGAGTATTTTAAGTATTTTAACTAAACTGCAAGGCTAAAGATATTAAAACCCATTTGTTAAATAAACTCAATTTAAACCATTGAGAAAAATAGAAACCCAAACATAACATGCAGTGGTTGTAAGGGATAGAAATGGGTATTCAACCAGGGTGACTTCTTCCTAACTTCTCAAATCAATTAATAAAGGTCACACACTTAAGGTCCCCAGTGGAATAGAAGAGAAAAAACATGGTGCCTTAAGATCTATAACTAACAGAGGGCCTGCTATTTTTTATTCTTGTATTTTCACCCTCTTCTCTTTATTCTCCTTGAAAAAACTATGTTTCTTGTCAAAAATCAAGTCGTGTTTCTCTCAAATGATGTTTGCTTTTCTGTTTTGATGTAATAGCTTCAACTTTCACATCTTTCCCCAAATCAAATAGTCTCATGTTTTATGCTAGTTGGCGTTTTTTTTTTTTTAATTTTTTTCTTATCAAGAAAAATATGGGTTTCTTTCATGTTTCTCTTTGGGTTTATTGTTGATAGTTTAGAATTGGTTGTTATTCTTGAGTTGATTTTTGCCCTTCTCTATAATGTTTTGCGTAACTTTATTTCATTTTTCTTTTTTCCTCAATTTAATTTGTTAAACTAACAACTTTAAGTCATGTTGAACTGAAATCTATCAAGTCCGTAATTCCAACTCCCTTAACAAATTTGACTTGAATTGGTATTTTGGTGATTCGTTGGATAATGAATCAAATTTGGATATTAGATATATTTGGATTCGACTTGATATGTTTGTAGTCATAGCCATAATAGACCTACTTTTCCCATACCTTTCCTTTATTCATTTTATTTAAAGCATCCTTCACTTTAGAAATTCTAATTTTACAAGTACGTCCCCCACTAGCACCCTTTATATGTTCTTTATTTAGCAATTTATCAGAATAGATTTTGCATCTTTCCTTGATTTCCTAGTCTTTTATCAAGACTCTTTTCATCAAACATGATTTAAATCTCTTCCTTTTCTTTCTCTTACCTTTACAAGTTTATATACTCTATTTTCTCCCTTTTAGTGCCTAGTTTATGAAAGAGTTTGTTACATGCCCTAAATTTAGCTTTGCTCATTTTCTTAACTTTCTTTTTTTTGTGATTTTATATTTTTCCAAATTTTCTAAATTTTTAGTCTTTTACCATTTTTTTCATAATATGTCTGTTTTGCTTTGGTTATATTTTGAACCTCCTTATTCCACCACCAAGTTTCTTTGGAGTTTCAAAATTTTTCCTTTAGATTTTATTAAAACCTCTTTTTCTTTCTTTATATAGCTAGCCATTTCAAGCCACATATAGTTAGTCTCCTCATCTAAATCCTATTTTCCTTTTATTATTAGTTTATCTTTAAATTGTGGCAAATTTTGGCCACATTTGGAAGTGCTTCTCCAATGGGTTTTTTGTGCTTTTCACATTTGAGAAGCCAAAAGCCAGTCAAAGTTCTATTATAATTCGGCCTGCCTTTGAGTTCTGTCAGTCTGATAACAGCCAAGAAGAGAGAAGAAGAAAGAAGAAAGAAAGAGAGAGAGAAAGGAGGATAAAAGGAGAGAAGAAAAGTCTGGTTCGAATTCGGGAAAGATCACTTCTCCCATTCGGCCAGACATGTTTTATATTACTAATATAATGGAAAAGACACATGTGCCCTTATTTAAGTGAGGGACACTAGTTCTAATATAATATTACAGATCAGCAACCTCAACACAAGTATAAAGACAGAAATACCTCTACACTAACAAGTTCATTTGGTGAAAAAGCTCTAATTGTTTTTTTCCCATTAAAAAAGCCTGTTTAAAAAGCAAAAAGTAAAATCAATTTAGCTTTTTACGTTTGCAAGAAGCTATTTTGAACAAAAATGTTGGTGACAAGCCCAACACTAAAAAAAGTGTTTTTTCAAAAAGCCCATTTCAAAAAGTGGCTTTTTAAGAAGCTCAAAAAAGTTGGTGACAAGCCAAACACTAAACAAGTGCTTTTTCAAAAAGCTATTTCAAAAAGTGGCTTTTTCAAAAGCCTATTTAGGACAATAAAATTCCCAAGCACCACCTTTCTCCTTTTAGATTTTCCCACCTAATTCTTAGGCACCTATTTCATCTCTCTTTTTCTTCTCTTTTAATGCACACATCTACCACTGTTAATCCATGTTGTGTGGTTAAGATTTTCCTTGGAATAATTTGCAAACCTTTCACATTTAAAGTATGTGTCCACCATAACTATCAAGGTGCCGGCTAGGTGATAAGGCTTTCTTGTGGAGGGTTACCTCACTTAACTGCTCCAT